AAAAAAAAAAAAAAAAAAAAAAAAAAAACGTTCATTTTTTTCCTCTTCATTTCTCCTCTTAATATAGCCCAGCCCCCGCAATTAAAAATTGTTTTTTTTTTCATTTTTTTTTCGTGTGAGGGGTGGGGCTGGGGTTGCGCCGGCCCATGGTGCTTCCCGAATCCCCAACCCCCTTCCCCTCTGGCCACCACGTGTCGTCAAAGCCGCGCGTCCGCGCGGATGCGTCCGCGGGGTCGGCGGACAGGCCTCGTCCGCGGATTGGGCCGCGCTTGGCCGCCGCCGAGGGGGATTCATAGCCTTACCGCCATTTTTCCACAGCCGCAGTTACTAAAACACTTTCCCATCATTTTTCCACAGTGGGCATTTCGGGCCCGGCCAAAGAGAGAGAGAGAGAGAGAGAGAGAGAGAGAGAGAGAGAGAGAGAGAGAGAGAGAGAGAGACTTTCCCGCCAATTTTCCACAGCGGGCATTACGGTGTCAGGGGGCCGCAGACCGGTCGGCCACCCGAAATAGAAGGGACAGGCCCGTCAACCGAACGAACAATTAAAATTCTTCGGGAATTCCTGTTGGAACTGTCGAGGAGGATTCGGGGTCCTAAGGTAAACTCCGAAATTCTTCTTATCGACCGCTGGTACTAACCCTTGAGATTGATGACATGGACAGTCGTCTCTACCGAGCCTGCCACTTGACTTTTTCGCCTGCTTTGAGACTATCTTCGAATCAGCCAGCCGAGCGGCGAAGGTGTGCTCGCAAGCCTCCGCGCAACCTTTTCCTCGCTGATGAGCTGGCGAGGAAAGAGGCTTTAAATTTTATCTAATTTCACGACGAAACTAAAAATAAGTACTAAAATAAAAATGATGAACAAAAATTAAAATAGCCTATTATCTTATTGTTTAACATTTTTTTAATCAGTCGCGCTCTCGTTGATTTTAACCAGAATTTACCTATTTATTTTGCCTCTTTAATTTAAGCGGATCCCCTCTATCTTGTCATCCCCCACTGATCTTACCGGACCTTACTTAATTTGTAATTCACTGATTCCCATGACCCCCTGAGTGCTGTATGGGAACTCGGGTGAAACTTATGTGGACCCGACCATTGGGCAGTATTTATTCTTGCACTATTTTGAGGCAGACTTGAGTTGCCTCGGCGATCAGGTTAACGGCTGGTATTCTTGCTATGACAAGTGGCTATGGACACTGATTCGGTACGGGCACGGTACTTGTGCTGTTTGGCACGACCTTTGGTCCGTGGTTCGGTACTTTTGCTTTGGTACAGTCACTAGTTGGGCACTTACACAGTACTGAAACAGCATATTGCAGTCTGATCTTGTTATTTTGGTACAGTTATTGGTTCGGTACCGGTACGGCACGCTTGCTGCACGGTATGGTATTTGGCATCGGATTTGACAATATGTAGGTACTGGTCCAGCATGACTACAGTTCTCTGAAGTTTAAAATGATTCTCTTTGGTGTGGTTGCTGGTTTGGCACTGGTATGGTAACGGTACAGATCACTGCAGTTCGGAACAGTTATTTCAAGTTCGGTACTGGCTTGGCGCATTGCTGTTCCGTTGCCTGCTATGGACAAACTCAGTATAGATACCAAAGGAGAAGAACTTAGCAAGGAACTATCAGGTGTGTTGCAAACTAGAGGCAACCAAGCAAAGGAAAGAGCACCAACAATCTAAGTTGACACCGTAATGAAGCCAAGCAACAGAAGGAACACGAACAATCTAAGCTCACACCGTAGTGAAGCCAAGCAACAGAAAGAGCACCAACACTCTAAGTTCACACAGTAGTGAAGCCAACCTCCGACAAACATTTCGTTCCTTCAACGGAGAGGCGTGTGCTAGCGAGCGTGGTACAGCTAGAGCCTAGAGATAGACGGGAGCAGGGATCTGGTCTGTAAATCCGGTCAGATGCAAAACGCGAAGAAATCTACACTACAGCCCAAGCTAGAGGAGACATAGTAAACAGGCCTATGAATTTGGTTAGATGCAAATTGCCAAAAGCTCAGCCTGTGGACCGTAGAAAATCGAAGATGCTAAATCCCTTGTTTATTCGTGCTAAATGCTGCGCACAAACAAACCAGCCTATTGATGTCAACAGGTGAGGACGAGAGATGGCAACAGCGCGTGCAATCAGTGAGGGGGCAGCGGTCGGAGTTATCCAGGATTAAGAATTCTGAGGAGTCGATGCAATACTAATAGCCTAGTAATAGGCAAGTTCTGGGCCTACCATGTTTGTCAGAGGAAAAAGGGGTGAATCCAGCCATAGAAAGGGACTGAATACAGGCCGTTGAAAACGAGAAGAGCAGCCAAGGTTTGGTTCCAAGTCCCAGAGAGTGACACAGAAGAGAAGATAATTCCACGTTCAAAGGAACAAAGAAACGGCTCAGATAAGGAGGAGCCGGTACACCTAAAGCAGGGAAGGGTAGATAAAGTAAACGTCATGACCTCTGGTCGAGACTAATCCTTGGCTCCCTTTGCACTACTGGAAACGCTCCCATGGCCACCAGTGAAACTCCCACTTCCCAAAGGTGACGTGGTCCTGTAGAGCTTCAGGTCTTCTCACACTTCGAGTATTCACCCTCCTGGTTGAGGTAGTCGCTAGTACTTGGCTTGTGCTCCTCACAACAACAGTCCCACCACTGCCAGTTGCCCTCCCACTGCTCCCGGAAGTGCCGCTNAACAGTCCCACCACTGCCAGTTGCCCTCCCACTGCTCCCGGAAGTGCCGCTGTCTGACTCACCATTCACCGTGCACTGGACTCACTCTCCCTTCTCCGTGCCATTGGTCATGTATATTTCCCCAAAACGGGGTTCATACAGAGGTCGCAATAGCCTGAAATTTTGAGTGTTGAAGGTTGTAGAGGGATCCCACCCTGCTCCCTGGTATTCCACAGGTAGACACAGCCCCTTGTCGAGGCTGAGGGAGATGGCCGAACCTTGGGAGTACCGAGTACTCCATAGCTCCGTCCCACGCCCCGTAACCCGTGCCTTGCGGCCTACGCAGAGCGCCGCCGTTTCCGGACAGCGGTCTCATCGGTAACGCAGCGCTCCCGCCCCCCCTAAACTTCTTTCTTTTCTCTTGTTTTCTTTTCATTTCTATCTGTTCTCATTTTCCGTGATTTCTTTTCATTTCTTTCAGTCCACTGGATCGCCAAGATTCCCCAGCTTCACGCTAGTAGCATCTTGGATTTCTTTTCATTTCTTTTCATTTCTTTCAGTCCATTGAAACATTTTTCGTGATTTCTTTTCATTTAACGTAGCGCGGCTAGGCCCGTTGACTCGCGGCATAAACAGTGTCTCTAGTAGCATCTTGGATGTGTATGACGGCTTTTGCGACGCGCGTGGATGCACTGGACCACATGGACGTGCAAAGAGGGCCTACTCACACTAGGACTTTTCGGCTTAGCTCTGGAAGAGACTGCCGTCAGAGTAATCCAGCTCCGACCGTAATTGCAGTCGGATTCATTCAGGAAAGTGCTAATGTGAGCATGCCCTCAACCTCACTGATGAGGATGTGGACTTGGGGCCTCGCTGCACTCTTTTCCACATTCACAAAATACAAAAAAATATGGCAGTGTATCTTGAAGTTTCTGCGTTTCTAGGTGAAGATTCATTCTCATTTTGCACATTTAGGGAGTAGCGAACAAGATTGTTAAAGCCAAAGGAAAAGTGAAAGAAGAAAAAGACAGAACATACTCTTGACAGCCTGTACTACACATCCACAAAACAAAGAAAAACAAAAAAAATCAACCATCGGTTTGTGGTCTTCGGTCACTGATTGGCAAGCCTTTGGATGCGTTCTTTGCCCCGCCACTCCACGTGGCACATGGGGTACCTCTCTCGATGATGACAAAAAGACAGCAAGACAGCTCGGGAAAAAAAAAAAAAAAAAAAAAAGAAAAGACAGCTCGTTTCCAAGTCAGCAAAAACAGCCTGTGACTGTGCTTTTTCCAGGTTGTTAGTGAGGAATTCCCGGGGGCCATGTCCCACTTCTCGAGGTTTTGTTCTGGTTTTGAATATACATGGCTCCTTGCCATCCGATCTGAAAATCTCACGGCCCTACTAGTAGTGTGACCACCTTGGAAAATACACGAAACATAAACTACACCCCCGCTACGGGGACACGGCCCCGCCCTCACGTTCTCATGATAATGGATTGAAACGAGTGCGGTAGTAGCACACTTTCAAACTGTAAAGGCAAAAAAAACACTAATGGGCAACGAAAAAATGGCCGTAGTTCGAAAAGGCAGACATAACACTAATGGGCAATGAAGATATGGCCCAAGTTCGAGAAAGGCGGAAATATCGCCTTTTCGTAGGCCGTTTCCACGAATGCATCAGCCCAGATTATTTGCTAGGTTCGTTCCTTGTTGTGCTGTCTTTTTTTTTTGCTGCTGACACTTGATTTCGTGCCCTGTCAACGAGCAGAGCGTTTTCCACGGAGAACAGACGTGCAGACGACAAATGCATCTGGCCAGAATCCCACCTTCTTTCATCCTTTTTCGTGCCCTGCCAACGAGCAGAGCGCTTTCCACGGAGAGCTGACGCTTGCAAAGAGGAGGGCTCCAACTGCTCTAACGTCCACTGTACAGCAGTTGCGTTTTTTTTTTCTTTTTTATTTCGTTTTCTTGTTTTTTTTTGTTTCTTTTCTGTAGAGTACCAGAAAAGAGTACAATGGGACCCAGGCTCGACAAAACTCGGCCCCATGGTTGGGCCACGGCCGAGATGTCTCGGCCACACCCTAGATTGGCTACGGCCGAGATGTCTCGGCCACACCCCAGATTGGCCACGGCCGAGATGCCTCAGCCACACCCCAGATTGGCTACGGCCGAGATGTCTCGGCCACACCCCAGATTGGCCACGGCCGAGATGTCTTGGCCACACCCCAGATTGTCCATGCCCCAGATGTCTCGAGCACACCCAATGGCCGTGGCCTGACTATAGGGCTATGTTTTTTTTTTTTTTTTCCCTGCTCCGCGCGGCACGGCACGGCGCCGCACGAGCAAAAAAAAAAAAAAAAAAAAAAAAAAAAAAAAAAAAAGCGACCACGAAAAACGATATTTCTGCCTTTTCAAACTTGGGGCCTGATGTTACCGCCTTGTAATGTTATGACTGCCTTTTCGAACTATGGCCTTTTTTTCATTGCCCATTATTGTTTCTTTTGCCCTTTCAAACTTTGTTTGTGACACAAACGTACTTGCCCCTAATGGATTTCTTCCTTTTGGACTTGTACAGCCTTGCTCTTGCTCCACAGCTGTAGTGCCAACCTAGCCCGTGGGCTGGGGAGAGATCTGGGTTGGTTGGCGTTCCCCCTAACATAGAGGCTCGCCACACAGGCTGTCTATTTCAACAGCTGTCAGAAAAATCGGTCAACAGCGCTTACCGACAGCTGTCAGAAAATTTGGTCTACAGTTTACCCCCCCTTCGCCACACAGGCTGTCGAGGGGCAAGGTTTTCTGTCATGGCCAAATGGACTCCCCCTTTCCACAGGGCACGGCCACGGAACAGTCCCTGACCCTGACAATGCAAATTCGAACGCAATTCTCGAAAGGCAGGTGGGGCACTTTCGAATTTCCGTCTCGTGCAGGCAGGCCAGAGGAAACGAATGGGGGAGGGTGGCTGTAGAGCGTACCATTCTGACAACTGTTGAAATTCTTTTGAGCTGCAATTCTTCGAAAGTCTGTGTGGCGATGCAAAACTGTCGAAAACCTGGTTTTCTACAGCCTGTGCGGCGAGCCTCTGTGAGGATGAGATAGATGCCTACTACCAAGAAGATGAGATAGATGAAAGAAGAATATGGGGCTCTTTCAAGGACGGGCGCGTAAAGTCCCCGAGGAATTGTTCGTTCCACCTATCCTCAGGGATGCAGTCCCAAAAAAAAAAGTGAAAACACTCCGAAGGAAATTCCTTGGGCTCCGAGGATTCCCCAGCCGTTTCTTCCTTTTGCCCAAGGGACCTCAGAAGGTCCCTTGGGCAAAAGGAATCCGCTTTTCATGGAGAGGAGCGGGCACATGGGTAGAGAGACATTACAACCAAAAATGTGGATCGTGGAGGCACCCTATTGGCTGAAGGCCTCAAACACATTTGATTTTTTTTTTCTTTTCTTTTTTCTTGTCTGACATCGTTCGAGGAAATGTTCTGGAACGATGTCCCCGAGGACAGGTGGAACGATGGTGGGAATTTCCTTGAAAACCCCCAAGGAAACTTCCTTTGGCCCCCTGGACGCCCCAAGGAGTGTCGAAAGAGCCCCTATAGGTTACTCCAAAGTTCAAAAAATAAAGAAAAAAAAAAGTCAGCAAAATGCCTGGAAGATTCCGAATGCAAGAGGGATACAGCACTGCCAGCAGTGCCAGGGTCCAGGCGAGAAAAAGAAAACAGGCAAAGCACGTCGGTGTCGGACCCGCCGGACACACCATGACCTCGTAGCCCCTCTAGTGGGAGTATGGCATTAGGGCCTCGCCACACCACTCTTGAAAGGGGGAATTTTTCAAGAGATGTCAGACGTTCTCAAGAGTTGGGTTTTCAAGAGTTTTCGGCCCCTCGCCACACACCACTCTCAAAAGGGCGATGGTGTTGGACAAAGGACGAAAAACGACAGTCGTACATCTTTTTTTTTTGAATGGTGTCAGGATAACGGGCTGACAACTCTTGAAAATCGATAGTCCCTAAAGGGTTCAGCCAAGGACACTGTCAAATGCACGAGTTGCAGGCTGGGGCTTTGAATCTTTCAAGAGCTGCTCTTGAAAGGGTTTTAAGAGCCACTCTGACAGCTCTTGAAAGCCCCAAGTTCCAAGAGGTTGTGTGACCACACAGCAACTCTTGAAAACGAGTCTTCAAGAGTGCTGTGGCGAGGCCCTTAGTGGTTTTTTCTCATGTCTGGGGGTCCAACCGCAGGCACAATGCAGTCAGAAAGAGAGGGGAAACCTCGCCGGCGTTGTTGCGGCTCAGTGATTCGTTTGGGAAAAGTTATAGATACTCCCCTCCACAAACACGTCGATTCCTTTGGACATCACTTTTGCAACCTGTCAAACACTTTACGGCCATTTTTCCAAACATTTTCCGGCCATTTTTCCACAGCGGGCGTTAACGGGCCCGGCCAAAGAGAGAGAGAGAGAGAGAGAGAGAGAGAGAGAGAGAGAGAGAGAGAGAGAGAGAGAGAGAGAGAGAGAGAGAGTTTCCCGCCAATTTTCCACAGCGGGCATTACGGTGTCAGGCGGCCGCAGACCGGTCGACCACCTGAAATAGAAGGGACTGGGCCATCAACCGAACGAACAATTAAGATTCTTCGGGAACTCCTGTCGGAACTGTCGAGGAGGATTAGGGGTCCTAAGATAAACTCCGAAATTCCTCGCATCGACCGCCGGTACTAACCCTTGAGATTGATGACTTGGACACTGGCGCTTGACTTTTCCGCCTGCTTGTGCTTGCAAACCTTCACACGACCTTTTCCACGCTGATCAGCTGGCCAGGAAAGAGGCTTCAAATTTTATCTAATTTGATGACGAAATTAAAAATAAGTAATAAAATAAAAATGATGAAAATGAAATCAAAATAACCGATTATCTTATTATTTAACATTTTTTTTAATCAATCGCGCTCTCATTGATTTTAACCAGAATTTACGTATTTATTTCGCCTCTTTAATTTAATCGGATCCCCTCTATTTTGTCATCCCCTGTGGACCCGACCACAGGGCGGTATTTATTCCTGCACTATCTTGAGGCAGACTTGAGTTGCCTCCGCAATCAGATTAGCAGCCAGTATTCTTGCTATGACAAGTGGCTACGACAGATGTTTGGTCCGGTCTGGGACTGGTATGGACACTGATTCGGTACGGGCACGGTACGTGTGCTGTTTGGCACGACCTTTGGTCCGCGGTTTGGTACTTTTGTTTTGGTATGGTCACTAGTTGGGCACTCACATGGTACAGGAACAACATATTGCAGTCTGATCTTGTTATTTTGGTACGGTTATTGGTCCGGTACTGGTGCTTC